GGAGCAGCTTAGAGATCTGGGTACCGTATGTTTAGCCTGGAGAAGACAAAGTTAAGAGTTGACATGATAGCCATGTTTAAATATTTGAAGGAATGTCATATTGAAGATGGGGCAAGCTTGGGGTTGTTTTGTTTTGTTTTGTTTTTGCTGCTCCAGATACTAGGACCTGATGCAATGGATTCAAACTACAGAAAAAAGAAGATTCTACCTAATTCTTAGAAAGAACTTCCTGACAGTAAGAGCGGTTTGATAGGGGAATACATTGCCTTGGAGTGTGATGGAGTTTCCTTCTTTGGAGGTTTTTAAGCAGAGGGCTGGATGGCCATTTGTCATTTGTGTATTCCTGCATGACAGGGGGTTAGACTGGATGGCCCTTGTGGTCTCTAACAATTATGATTCTATGTTAGGGTCTCCAGTTTTAGAAAAGAAAAAGAAACCAAAAGAAAGCATCTTGAAGCTTTTTTTTCTGTTGAAATCATTTAGTTTGTCATCAGGAGTGCAAAAGTGGCATTACAGTTTTCAAGACATCCTTTGTTAAGCAGAATTTCAGAATGCGTTTTGCAACCCAATCCTGTGCATTCTTACTTAGAAAGAACTCCTACTGAGTTCAAGGGAGCTTACGCCTACATAAGTACATGTCAGATTGCTGTCAAAAGAATATGAAGAATATAGTGAAGAGTCAATGTTTGTAGTCTGGAACCATTGAAACTATAAATAACTGGAATACAGCAGATTTCTCCTGTCCTTTTGGGGGAAAAACTTCTACTCAACTTTTAGATGGAACTTTCAGTTCATTCTGAAAGCCCAAAATGGAAGAATGTAACTACAGTACTAAAAATTCTGAATCTCCAATAAAAATAGAAGGTAAAATTCATTTTGCCAGATCTAAGGGCCTGCTGCTGAATCTCAGAAGCCAGTCCCTTTGCTCCAATCCTTAGGACAAGGGGGGCAAATCTCAGAACAAGAGCACTGACATGTAAATAGTGCATGCAGACATAGAATAATAAAGTTGGAAAGAACTGCAAGAGCCATTTCATCCAAGCCTCTATCGTTCAGGAATACATAACTATTTATGGCACTCACAAAAGATGCCATTCCAATCTCTTTTTAAAGACTTTCAAAGAAGGAGGCCTGAGGCAGTCTATTCCAGTGTAGAACAGCGCTTACAGTAAAGAAGCTCTTCCTAATGGTAAGGTGGAATCTCTTTTCTTATAATTGAAGCCACTGGATAGTATTATAGTTTCTGGATTAGAGCTCATTTCATCTGCATAGCATCCCTTCCGGTATTTAAATATGCCTCTCATTCTTCACCAATCTAAACATAGCTAGCTGCCTAAGTTGTTCATCATAAGACTTGCCTGCCAGATCTTTTATCATCTATGGATGCTGCCACACTGCAGAAGTAATGCAGTTTGACCCCAGAATTCCACAGCATTGAGCCATGGTAGTTAAAGCAGTGTCAAACTGCATTAATTTTGCAGTGTAAATATAGTCTTCAACCTTCTCTGGGCACATTACAGCTAGTGTACTCTAGCCCAGGTGTTTTAAGGTGTTGCAAGACTCCTTTAAAAAAAAAATCTTTAAACTTTTCATCCTTCACTGTTGCAATAATATTTCTTGGATATGAAATTAAAACAGGCAAATTGCTGGGGAGAAAAACTCTACTTGCCTAAACTATTTAGGGTTTATATCACAAAAAATAAGTCTATAATACTGAAGATTTTAATTAAATTAGACGTTTGCATATAGGGTGGGGAAGAGAGATTAGCCTTACAAGTTGGAAAAGGAGAAAAATCAAACAATATGCAATTTAATGTTTGTTTGTTTTTAAAAGTCACTTCATATATTCCTTACCCTAGAGAAATCCTGAATTATAATCACCATAAATGGAAGTCAACTTGATGGAACATAACAATAGCAACAATAACACTGTTACAGGGTTGTGATGGCACTAAGCTTCACAAGCAGGATAGGACGAATATAAGAAAAGAATCCTTGACTACCAAGGCCATTCACAATTTGAAGATCTCTGAGAATAAGCAGTATCCTTTTTAGGGTATACAGGGCTTTCTATTTAAGATCCCTCTGTAACACAATATTGAACCTCAGTTCTTACTGCATTACAAAACATTTGCTCTATCACATGAACTGTGGACTATGCATTTGATAGGTATTTATAACTGGTGCTGCCCTCATCTCCATTACTTTTCTGTTATAATTATTAGTAGCAATCTTACCAGGAGCCCTTCAGATGTGCTAGGTTACAAACACCACTATATCCATCCTTCTCTGTGGCTGTATTGGTTGGGGTTGATGGTATTTGTACTCTTAACACTCTCGAGGGAGGCAGATTTGGGAAATCTGATTTATAATTTTATAAAAATTTACTTTTATAAAAATTTATAAAAGCAACGGCAAGTAACATTTTCTGAACTATAACAGTATAGGTCCCTCCCCTGAGGACTTTACAATATAAACTTCCAAGCAAGGGAAAGTCACCAGAAATGAGGAAGAAGAATGACGCCAAAGAAGTGAACATTGAAAATCTGCTTCATTTTAATGGATGAGCAGCCCTAATTTGATGAATTACCAACAGTAACTCCTGCCACTGAAACAAACACTCACCGTACCCTCTGCCAATTGCTATTAACAGTGACAGAACAACACCGTATTATTTATGGCCTCTCCAGAAACCCACTAGAACCAGCATGGTGTCGTGGTCTGAGTGTTGTATTAGGACTTTGAGAGACCAGGGTTTGAATCCCCGCATAGAGAGGGAAACTTACTCAAAGTAATTCAGTGGCAAACCACTTAACCAAAAAACAAACAAACAAACAAACAAAACCCTAATCAGTTCATTGTAAATCAATAATGACTCGAAGACACACAAAAACTTCAAGAAACCCACTGACTAAGCCTTCCAGATGCGATTCAGCTACAACATCCATCATTTCCATGTAGGGTTGCCAGAGGGAAAATTAAAAAGAGCTTCTGTACTTTTAATGGTTGTATAGAAAAGGGGATTTCAGCATGTGTTATTCCTTGTTGTTGTGTGCCTTCAAGTTGTTTCCGACTTATGGAGACCCTAAGGGGGAACCTATCATGGGGTTCTCTTGGAAAGGTTTGTTCAGAGGTCTTCTCCACAATGTCAAGAGATCTTTGTAGTTATCAGTGATGTATTCAAGTCTTTTAAATCTCAAGTCAAATCTCAAATCTCTGTCTTCAAGTCTCAAGTCAAGTCAGTCTGTCCTTACTGCCCAGTCAAGTTCAAGTCAAGCCATTGAAGCAACTTGAGTCTGACTTAAGTCCAAGTCAATTGATTCGTGTCTATGGAACTTATCGCATTAACAATTAATGCGACTTATCTGACCTGGCTTAAAATTTTAAA